AGCCCACTTCAAAGCTGTCCAGTACAGCGATGGAGACACCCACTGGCTATCTCACAGAGACTCAGAACCCTCTACCCAAAGGGGTTAGAGAGTGACCTGCGACTTCATTGGGCCAGGAGACTCATCGCTCACCTGGCCCCCTGTGCCAACAACATCCCTCATCTTCACTCCATTCAAGGTGCTGACCTTTTCCAGGAGTATATGGACCTTCTGGGCGATACCCGCTTCCGCACTCTTCGGATACAGTGCCTGGGCTTGGACGAACTCCACAGGATGGGATTCAACCTGATCCCCTGGGATGAAGCTGCCGTCCGAATCTCCTGGTCATACATCCTGTGTCGCTCCTCAACAAGCTGCGGGACATGGAGGCTACCCCCAACGCATCAGGGACACCCTACGCTGGTTCTCCGAACGGTTTGGGCTGCTGGATGTCACCTCCCTCGGCAGACTTCAAGACTAGAGAAAAGCACTTCAGGACCAACTGACGCCCACGGTGTCCAAGCCCCAACGGAAAGCCATGGCCCCCTCGAAGGAAGTGACTTGGGCTCTGGAACGCGGCGCTGCAGGGATCCCCCCCCAGGTGCTTCTAGAGCCTTGATAGGGGGGGGGGCCCCAATGAGCGCATTCCCTGGAGCTACAGATTACACTGATGGGCCATCTTGCTCTAAACAGCCTTGTTGAAGGCTCCACCAATACCCGTCTCCTAGCAGTATTTACTGCACACATCTGAACTACAGGTGTTGCTCGAATGCTCTGTGACGCTGCAATATGGTGTTATATGGCAGTACAAGGCACTCTTTCGTAAGCGTTCGCTACTCCGTTTGATTCATACACGTGCCTACACGTTATTTCATGTTATTTCCTGCTGAAAGTATGGAACTGGTAAGTTTCCAAAGCGAAGAGTGTCACGAAGGCTTCGGTGCTGTGCGGGAAGGATGCTGCGACATACTGAGCATTCTACTTGACAACGCAACAGTTCATCTTGGGGGTTGTCAGATTCCAAGTTGCACGCAGTGCCCGGTTCAATGACCTCCAGCATACATCGACCAGCAGCCTACAGCTCAACTCCTCCACCATTGAGCTCAGTGCCTGGCAAACCAAAACAGTCTCCGCCTTCAAGATGAAGAAGTCCCCGGTGCCTTTGATCGCGCCGAAGTACTCCTTCACTGGCCATGATTGGTGGACCCCACTCACAATTGTTTGGCGGAAGATGCATGCCCTGGAAGCCTTTGTGGACTCGGACTATCTGATCCCCACACTGAGTAAGGACGGTCTGGGCCTGTTCCCTCGACCCTCCTCATCCGACAGAGCGCCTCGTTGGCTAAAAGCGGCCCTGGGCCGCCAAGGTCCACGAGGCCAACAGGTGGAGAAACTTTCCTGGCACTCCTTCCGGGTATTCATCCCGGATTGCGCATTTCAACTGCACATTCCTCGAGACCAACGCCAATACGGCTTCTGAAGCGGAAAAGGTCACCTCGGAGATGATCCACCGGTCCCACGAGAATGCAGCGGAGTGACCTGGCCCACGGGCCGTGAGACGACCTCAACTCCCGAGCCGTGGGGCAGGTGCTGCGCGCCCTGACACCCCACAGTGGGGGGGAGAGGGACACGTGCTGATCCCGGTCCTTGACCTTGCGGGTAGGCCCCGCGCGTTTGCCACTTACCTGCGGGATTGGCGACCACTGGGTGGCATCCGTCCTGCGGGGTTGGCTGATTTTCGAATGCCACCCAGTGCATACCAGGCGAAGCCCTGGCACGGGTGAAAGGACAGTTCAAACCTGTAAAGGCAGACATTACCACCTCTCATGAAAAGAGGTGCAAGCTGCTGTCTCGACGCTGCTGTCTGCCTTTTTGGATTGATGTTTGGGGGCACTTTGGTTTTGCGTGGAGTTTGCGGATTGCAAACAATGTGTCCACAATACATTTCATTAGCGGCCTGCCATTTTGGCTCAAGGATCAGGCCTGATCCATCAAAGATCGAACTTTTGCGACCCACCCTCCACTCCCTGAGTTCTGGCGATGGCAGCTCCGGCGGCTCCGCCGACGCCGGTACGTCCTCCCCATCCCGTACCGGAACCTCTTCAGCGACACGTGGACGCGCTCAGTGCGGGAGTCAAGGCTCTCCTCACACAAAAGGGGATCCCCTACTGGGTCATGGCCCAGATGGCCCAATCAGGCTATGGAAGACCTTGCGGATCGCTGGGACACTCCCGCCCTGGCCTGACAACACGCTGGGACTTGAATTTCACAGCCAACGACCATGGGTGGACCAATGAGCTTCGGGAACTCATCTCGAGGCGCATGTACCGGTGCGTGCGTCTAGCCAAGGAGACCATCGGGGAGACCAGCGCGGGCATGACCCGGGGTCCAGACCAACCTGCCCTCCCATGGGCAAGACCACGGGCCTTGATGCGGTCTGCGACCCGAAGCAAATCCTCGTGGATTGGGACCGCATTGCCGCATTGCCAACCAACCACGCCCAAAGTTGACCTACCGGGGGAGTGACAACTTCTTGAAGAAGAATTTCAATCTGTGTGCCCATGGGGAGATTGGATTCTTCCTCACCAAACACACCATCTCGGCCCTCCCGGACACGGATGAAAAACCCATCAAGGTCAAGCGGAAGGCCACCTTCGATGGTTGGGAACGGGAGGTTGAAGACGAGGAAAGAGCCTTCCCGAGTACTAAGGAACAAGTCAAGAAGATGCACCAGGTCTTCCGGAACAACCTGTACATGTGCCTAATCAGCTTCCCGCAACACCCTCAGTTCAACGTGACCAAGACGGACATGGATGACTGGTACGAGTGGTTCGGGGGAAAAGACATTGCTGAGCGGAAGCCCCCTCCCTCGGAATCCATTGTGGTCTATGCAGAACGGAATGCATGGCGGGAGATCCACAATAAGGTCACCTTCGAAGGAGCTACCTTGAAGGACGCCATGCAAGACCTCCGCCAGGATAGCTTATTCTGGACGTGGGAGGTCTATGAGAGATGCCAGACTCGGGGCATTTCCCACCAGGCACCCGTCAAGGGCAGGAGGGCAACGCGTGGACCCCAAGGCAGACCCAGTGGTCCAAGGGCCAGACCAAGTCCTGGCCCCCTTCTCCAAAAGGCAAGGGGAAGTCCAAGACGAAAGACAAAGGTCGGGGAAGAACGAGAGATGGGCATGGTCCCAGGACCCTTCACCACGACCGAAGCAGCCGCTTACTGTGGATGTACCCCAGAAGAACTCTGCCCGGGCCCCATGGCAGCCATTGATGAGAGGGTGACAAAGTAAGAACCATCTATGATGGCTCCTGGGGGGGTGCCAATGCCCACATCCAACGCAACACTGAGGAATGTACTACAGCGCCACGGTCATGGATTGTGTCCACTGCTTGCACTGGCTGCGCGCCTCTCGCGGACTCAGCCCGTCCAAGCGGGCAGGTGCCTCGGGCCCTGATACCCAAACGGACGGGCGAAGGCAGTGGCTGTGGCCGGAACTGGACACGGAATGGCGCATTCTCAAGGCAGATGTCACCAAGGCACATAGACGCATCAAGATCCACCCCGGGGACTGGAGGTATCAAGTTGCCCAAATTGGCGACGAATGGTGGGTCAACAAGGTGGGCACATACGGCGTGGCAAGCGCCCAACTTTATTGGGGACGCATGGCAGCCCTCCTCCTCAGGATCATCTACGCAATCTTTCCGGAGATTGACTGGGGATTTGTCTTCGTAGATGACTTCGCATGGTTACTCAGGGGCTCCCTGGCGGACCTCCACTCCACCGCCCTTCTGGTGGTATTGTTATCCCTGGTGCCCCACTGAGCTGGAAGAAAAGTGCCCTCTCACACGAACACCTGGCTAGGCTTCGTCATCGACCCATCTGGACCCATTGTCCAGATGGCCAAGGAAAAACGCAACCAGGTCCTGGAACTGCTGGAGAAATTGGCAGCCGGTGAAGTCTTCACCCTCAGGGACCTTGAAAAGGGCATGGGCAGGCTCCAATGGGCCACAAGTGCCTGCCCCTTGACCAAGCCTCTCCTCCAACCGCTCTGGCAATGGAAAGGAGCGGTCAAAACTTCCGGCAAACCTAACCACCTGATCCGTACCTTTGCCAAGATGTTGCGATTCCTCTTCCAGGAGCCATACGCTCAATCCACGCCATTCGCACCCTGGTCACCCTGGCATGGGGCGAGTGATGCCAGCGCCTCCACTCACAAGGAGTACTACATTGGGGGCTGGCTCTCTACTGATCCGACACCTTCAAAACGATCAGTATTCTGGTTCCACCTCAAAGTGGATGAGGTGACTTTCCCCTGGATCCAAGACTGCTAGTGCTATGATCCCAGCGCTTGAACTCCTGGGATCCCTCATCCTCATTGCCTTCATCTTGAAGATGGGCGAACGCAACCAGCTGGCAGTCAAGATCCCAGTGATCACTGATAACCAAGGCAATGTCTTCTCCATGCTGAACAACAAGACGAGACAAATGCCCACTGCTGCCATCCTGATGCAGCTCGTTCTTACACTCCACAAGGGGGGGGGCGCAACTTGCCCCAACCCACGTGAAGCGAGACCTTAATGAGTGGGCTGATGAACTCACCCATCCACACCCTACGGGTTTTCATCCTGAGTTTCACCTGGACGCGAAGAACATCCTCTCAGAGTTTACCCTCATGAACTGGGTCCTCAAGGAGATCTACCACTACTGAGGACTAACCTTTCTCCTTTTTAGGCTTCCTTCCAGCTGCTTCACGCGCTGACAGAAGGAGCCCAATCTTTTTAGACCACGACACCCATGGGTCCTAGACTGGACGCCCGGTGTCAGTCTGCTTTACAGGTTCTCACCGGCTGATTTTCGAATGCCACCCAGTGCATACCAGGCGAAGCCCTGGCACGGGTGAAAGGACAGTTCAAACCTGTAAAGGCAGACATTACCACCTCTCATGAAAAGAGGTGCAAGCTGCTGTCTCGACGCTGCTGTCTGCCTTTTTGGATTGATGTTTGGGGACACATATATATATATATGGATTTTTTCTATGATTCATCCAATAATGGCATGTGAGAGGCTTGCAAAGCAGTCTTAAGCTTTGGAGCAGACTTTCTCTTGTCCAAATTCATCTCCAAACGGACTTTGTTTTGCAACGTGTGCCTTCGATTCACTTTCCAAAAGCCACGGATTCCGCCAGGAATGGGCTTCTTAGACGGCCCCAAATTGGAGGTTGCTTTGAGGTCGCGCCTTGAGGCCAGCGCTTTTGGGCGTTGAGCAGGCACTTTGGTTCGTTTTTGAAGCACCCGGAAATGGGCCTATCCGCTTTGGAGGCCTTGGGGGTTGATCTTGGAAAGCAAGGCATAGGTGGGTGGCGTTCAACAATCATGCTGAGAAGATCTGTTGAAGAATGATGAGGGAGTTGGAAAAACTGCAATTTGTTGGATTGCTTTAACGTCTCCAAGTACTTATATATATATATACTTATATATTTGTTTCATCAGGTTTTCTCAGAGCTCGAATCACTCAAACGCGGCACTGGTGGGAGGAGAATGGCTGGCAGCACAGCAGAGGAATGGCATCAACAAGAACTTTAGCTCGCTGCTCGGTGGATTTGCACATGGCGACGGATCACTTTGATTGCGAACTGAAATTATGAGGCACAAAAGAGTTGTGCTCTCTTGATCATGGCTGATCTTGGCTGCAGGAACGGGAAAGAGTCCAAGAGTCCAAGAGCCATCAGTCGTAGTCCATTTATATAGATACCCAGTTAATGCCCAAGCATAGCTCTTGGCCAGAAGCATACTGGAACCAGTTGGAATCTGGCTGCAGGCACAAATCACACAAATAGCTCCGCAACAGATAGAGTTGGCGCCATGTCCACATCCTTCATCGACGAGGTTACCAAGATGTGGCGAGTACGGAAGACGGCTCCGCGGCTTATTAAAAGGTTTGGTGAAGCAGGCTGTATGGCTTGAACGCCTTGGGAAACTGCAGAGTTCAGATGAATGTCGCGAGGTCTTTCAAATGAGCCGACCTCAGCGTTGTGCTGCAGAAATGAGCCAGGGGAAACGAGCCAGGGCAACTGCTACGTTGCAGGCTGCATGACCGTGGCTACTACGTCTCACAGAAGTCAGGGCTCCCAGCTTGCAGCCCAAGAGCTTAAGTCACTTCAGTCTTTCTGCAGGGTGCAGAGTTAGCAGCTAAGGAGTTTGGACGAGAAGAAAGAAGACTTTGAGAAGCAATGGAAGGCAAATCGACTCAAAGCGAGAAGCAATAGGTCAGGATCACTCAAGCAAGCACAACTGTCAGGAAGCTCAAGAGCAAGGTCAGGGTCGTGAGAGGTGAGCTTTGTCGGTTTGTCGTGCAACATGAGCAGTCACAGAGTCACACCAGGCCCTTTTGTGGCCATTAAAGTTTGTTGTTTTGTCTGGGAGGTTCTTGATTTTGGTGCATCATGCAAACTTTGCTGAACGCCAATTAATCGTGTTCTTCCCTGCCATGACCTCGGAGTAACCTGCTGGCGAAAGAGGTGACAACCACATGACGGCATGCATGCAAGTGTCCACAGGATGAAAACAAGCGTGTGGGGGTAAAACCGATCAGGACTGGAGAGCTGCTGAATAGCTGCTTGTGTTGCTATTGATCAGTACATGACTATATATAAATAGTCTCCAGTGCATTTTGAATCGGAGCGGATCACCCGCCTCAGTGGGTCAGTCAGTGGTCAGCCGCTGTTCACATCCGCAGGATTCTCGCTGAGAAGATGGACGAGCGAAAGATCCGAGAAGCCATTCTGGTCGTAAAGCCATCCTGGCAAGTCTTCTTGTGGAGCTTCTACACACAAACGCAAGCAAGACGAAACACGCCAAACATATGTCAAAACATGTGAAGTTTCGAACATGTGGAAACCCTCAAGAGCTATTAGTGTCGTCCCCCCCGGGGGCCTCGCGCGAAAACATAAACATCTTTTCACCATGCAGATCTGCTACCGAGTTTTCCCCGGGACGCCAGGCAGCCGCTGACGCCATTGGCCCGTACAGCTATCAATGAGGCTTCCACCAAGATGAGGTCTGGGTAGACATATCATGAACGCTTTCGGTAAGCGGATTTTTGAAGGTACAAGCCTATGCAATATCATAGTAATAAACTACTAGACTATTATGTAAGTATAGAACAAAAGTGAACATTCCGGTTTTCGGAGTCACAACCTTGTCACATGCATTCTTTCACAGGATCGAGGTCTTTCATGAGAATGAGCTCATTGTGAACATCACTCAGCACGAGCTGGCCGATGAGCTCAGCGACTTGTGGAAACTCCTGCGGGCTCGGCAAGCAGAAATACGCAGTCCGTCTTGGAATCTGAGCGGATCAGAATCCATACATGGAAAGTCATATAAGTTATGTAGTGTATATTGCCTTGTGACAAAATCCCGGGGATCCCACAATCCCTCTTTTGGAGGGGTTGAAAGTGGTGCTACAGAAGTGTGCAGGGATTAGACCATTTTTGGAAAATGTGGCTGTTCAGTAAGGTCCCCAAGCACGTGCCTCTCTCGGAGGAGGAGAAGCAGCAACTGTTGAACAGGTCGGACTTTGTTGACCTTTCCCTTTTTTCTTTCAGGCACAAACCATTCAAGTCGTTTATCCATCTCAAGCCGCTCAGAAACTATATACAACTTCAGTGTCAGAGCAATTCTCGAAAACGCCAGGTACAAAATGAAGCCAACGCAGCTTCCAAGAATACAGGTGATAGATCCAGTTGCCAGGCAAGCCGAAATCAAAAAGAGTCATAGGAACGAACAACTCTTTGCCCACAGAAATGCTTTTCAGGTACTTTGGGATGCAGCGAGACCAGGCACGCTGAAGATGCTCTTAAACACCAAAATCACGCATTGAACGGTTGAACATATTCACGCTGCTCCGCGGCAAGGTCCGCCCGCACCGCCGTGAAACAGTTGCCCAACAAAAAGCGGCGAATAGCGAGGTTTTTGAGGTTGACGTTGCCAAGAACGCCACTACGTACCGTATTTTACAGTGTCTTTATGCTCTGTGAGGCAGAAACCATGGCTACCGCCTTGTGTAAATTATTCCAGGGGTGGGGTATGTGACCAAAATAATTTTTTTAAAATAATTTTGGATATAGCACCTGGCCATGGGGTGGGTTAGGGCCACCTAGGAATAAATATGACATATATTACTCTAAATACCTAGAAATAACTAGTATGAAGGATAACATGTTAGACTTTAGGCACTTCAAAATAAATTGTATAAAGGATAACATGTCAGACTCCAGGCACCTCAAATTAATTTTGGGTTTTGTGCTATTGAAAGCACCTTGAAAGATATGGATCAATGCAAGGGACTGAAAGACCTGTCAAACGCTTTTGCTGCAAGGTGGATTGCACTAGCAACGTGGGCCTAAGCAGAAAATAACCAAATCAGCAAGAACTAGGAGAGTGATGTGTTGACGTCACTGTTTGTTTATTTGGATGCTGAATCCGCAAGAACCAAAATTAGTTGGAATCTACATAAGTTGGTAGCTGGCTTCCTGGGGAAAGGAGGCACGGCACTGCTTTTTTTGGGCCATGGCGGACAACCTTCCTCCTGAAGGCTGTCCCAAATCATGTGGAATCCGTAACTGTGGCTTGGCTAACGACAGGATCCGCTTTTCGCTTTGGAATGCAATTTTCTCCCATCTTTTAAGTCTTTTTTCCTCGCTTAACGCAAGCCGTTTGAGGTCCGGGCGAAATGATGAAGCCGGAAATGAACGCCAAGTACCAGACGTAGGTCGCACGCTGTGACCCTGGGCTGCACAATGCTGCGCATGGAGTGGCACACAGATGTGTTGGACTGTGTTGGTGTCCAATTGAGATGATGTGTTTAATGATTTTTGGCTCCAAGAATTTGGAATATAGATTGTTTCTATTTTCCTGAAACTTTTCCTGAATCGTGCGTCCATCCTGCCAACCTCTACCTGTGCAATGTCGTTTGCCTCAGAGAGTGCAGAGGGCACAGAATGGCCCAGCCGGAAGAGAACCCAGGAATGTATAAAGTTGGAGGGCTGGCCCGCTCTCAAAAGAAATCATGTCGAGATGGATTTGGATTCAGAGATTGAAGATGCCCCGCTGGAAGGCTCAAAAAGAAACGAGGTTGAAGAAGAAGCTGCAGAGTATGAAGGTGATGAAGATGAGAGTGAAGAGGGTTCAGCTTCACCGACCTTGGATGTCCGCAGAGAGGACAGCTCGGTGCCCCACGATGCACAGTACGTGGCAATGTTTGCCGGAGATGGTGATTCAGCTGCCGGTCCAAGTCACTCTAAAATCTGCCAATGTCCAATTTGTCGGGAATTGGGGGGATCCTCGTCAGACTCCTCTGCTTCGGACTCAGAATGGGACATCCTATCCTCAAATTCCAACCGCAGTGCTCATGACGTTGGAGAGGTTGAGACTGAGGTAGATGAAAACCAGGAGATGAACTTGGAACTTGCAGATGTGGCGCCATCACATGAGTTAGACCAGGAGACGAACTTGGAACTTGCAGATGTGGCACCATCACATGAGTTAAACCAGGAGACGAACTTGGAACTTGCAGATGTGGCACCATCAAATGAGGTGGAACAAGCCGACACGGGCTGTGTCTACGGCAGTTTAACTTCAAGCGGCGCGCCCTTTTCTTGCAAAGTGCAATAGGGAGATACGAACTGATGCCAAATGTTTCAAAAATTCACTGTGACAAGATGCCATAACTATTTACACTGAATGCAGGTTGAGACAACAGCTGGCAATACCGGTGTATTCCAGCCACCTCACCGTTTTGTTTTGCGGTAGATTGCGGTAGTATGCGGTAGTGATCAGCAAGATTCGGCCAGGATATGCGAGGATCATTTGGCAATCCTGGGGAAAATGGACCTGTGGGACACGATGGGAAACGAGGTTGCGGAATTTGTTGTGTTCCAGCTGATCCCAATTGTCGCCAAGGACTGTGAAACCACAACTGGAAGAGGTCACCGCCGACCTTCACATCATGTATGTATTTGGACCCTCGGTTTAAATGCATCCAAATGCACGCAATATTGCGATATTTGTTTAGTTTGTTGATTTGTTTTTTGAATTTGGAATTTCATGGAATTTCCATGAATTTTCTGAGTGCTCCACGACGTGTTTGCGCTCCAAGGTTAGATGATCAGTGGACCTTTTCCACATGCTTATCGGCTGCTTGCAGAGACCGCCTCCAGCAATTGGCCTCTTGCCAAAATAGATTATTTGCCATGTTTCCGGTTGGTTTTGGGACCGGAGAATAGTGAGACGTCCGTTCCATTGACACAGAAACCGAAAGAAATTGGAGATTTTAGGTTATTTTGTTTGGGAATGTGTTGGATGTATCTCTGGTAGCAAACCCCAAGGAGGCACAATCTACAGCTGGTGCGAAAGAGACGTGCGCGAGTTCAGAGGCCAGAAGTTCTATGTTTTTGGCTGTGCAGCTCATTGGAAATTATTTTGGTAGTGGCCGGGTAGTCATTGACCTGTGAAATAATATCACAGAATTGATATGAATTGGTACATGATGATATATATATATACATTTGTCTGTGTGCTT